GATGATGCTGCTGGTGATGATGATGATGATGATGAGGAGGAGGAGGAGGTTGACGATGACGATGATGATGACGATGGCAATTCCGATGACGATGACGATGATGCTGATGAGTATGAGAACGACTGTGACGATGATTGTGATGATGAGGAGGAGGAGGACATTGACGATGAAGATGACGATGGCGATGCCGATGACGGTGACGATGATGATACTGCTGCTGATGATGGAGACGATGATGATGAGGACGGTGATTGTGTTGTTGATGCTGATTCTGTTGATGATGATGAGGCGGATGGTGATGATGACGATGATGACAATGCTGATGATATTGATGATGATGATAACGAGGATGAGGAGGATGACAACGTTGGTCATGATTGTGATGCTTATGATGCGGATGATGGTTGTGACGAAGCCGATTGTGATGATGGTGATGACGATGACGATGATGCTGATGATGATGAGGATGATGATGCCGAAGATGCTGCTGATGATGGTGATGGTGGTGTTGATGACGATGATGATGACGAGATGATGGTGATGATGCTGATGGTGATGCTGATGATGATGATGATGATGATGATGATGATGATGATGATGCTGCTGATGATGATGATGATGATGATGATACTGATACTGATACTGATACTGATGCTGATGACGGCGATGCTAATGAAGACGATGATGATGTTGAGCTGGTGATGATGCTGCTGCTGCCAATGATGATGCTGCTGATGGTGGTGATGACGCTAATGCTGATGCTGATGATGATGCTGATGGCGATGCTGATGCTGCTGCTGATTCCCATGAGGATGATGAGGATGACGAGGCTGCTGCTGCTGCTGCCGATGATGAGGATGATGCGGATGAAGCTGATGATGATGATGTTGTTGATGATGATGATGATAATGAGGATGAGGAGGATGTCGACGTTGGTCATGCTGGTGATGCTTATGATGTGGATGCTGGTTATGACGATGCTGATGGCGATGATGGTGATGACGATGATGATGGCGATGCTGATGCTGATGATGATGCGGATGATGAGGATGGTGAGGCTGCTGCTGCTGATGAGGATGATGATGCTGATGCTTATGATTATGATGATGACGAGGATGATTATGATGATGACGATGATGACGATGCTGTTGTTGTTGATGCTGTTAATGATGATGATTATGATGATGATGCTGATGATGCTGATGATGAGGGTGATGATGATGATGATGATGATGATGATGCTGGTGATGATGTTGATGATACTGCTGATGCTGACGATGATGATGATGAAACATAATAATAAGAATAATAATAATAAGAAGACGAAGAAGGAAGAAGAAGAATATGGTAATAATAATAGTAAGAAAAATAATAATGAGAATAATAATAAGACGAAGAAGGAAGAAGACGAAGAAGGAAGAAGAAGATGAACATAATAATAATAATAAGAATAATAAGAATAGTAGTAATAATAATAATAAGAAGAAAGAAGAAGAAGATGGTGGTGGTGGTGGTGGTGATGAAGCTGCGGTTGTTGCTGTGCTGCTGTTGCTGCTGCTGATGATGAGGAGGAGTGATGGTGAGGGGGATGGAGGATTGAGGAGGAGGAGGAGGAGGAGGAGGAGGAGGAGGAGGAGGAGGAGGGTTGAGGATGGAGGAAGAGGCAGAAGGAAGAAGGACGGGGATGGCAGGACGAGGAGCCAGGGCGGAGCAGGGGGCGAGAAGAGCATGTGGACGGTAAGGTCGACGCAGATGAACATTCTGTTCATGACGATGACGATAGTGGTGACGATGCTACGCTGCTGATGATGCTGATGACCATGATGACGATGCTGATGGCGGCGACGGCAGCTACGACGATGCTGATGATGATGACGACGAGGATCGAGGTGATGATGGTGATGATGATACTAACTCACTATCGTGTTGAGAATGATGGCGAGGACGACGCCGAGGAAGATGAGGACGACGAAGATGACGACGAGGATGATGATGGCGGTGGCGGTGGCGGTGGCGGTGGCGGTGGCGGTGGCGGGCGGTGGCGGTGGCGGGCGGTGGGGGCGGTAGGAGGTGGGAGGAGAGAGGAGAGGAGGGGCGGGAGGAGAGGAGGAGGAGTAGGAGAGTGAGAGGAGGAGAGTGGAGGAGGACATTATTGGACAGGGACACAGGAGCCCTTTATTTGGACTCCCATCGAACTCCCCTGGATGCTCAATGACCGCACGGAGCCTCCCATGCAAGCCACCGCCTCCGGACTCGGTTTTCCTGCTCCTCCTACTCCTGCTCCCTCCTGCCCCCATCCTCCTCCTCCTCCTCCTCCGTCCTCCTCCTCCTCTCTCCTCCTCCTCCTCCTCCTCTCCTCCCATCCTCTCTCCCTCCTCCCTCCTCCCTCCTCCCTCCTCCTCCTTCCTCCTCCTCCTCCCTCCTCCCTCCTCCCTCCTCCCTCCAGTGACCAGCTTGGCTCGAGCCAGTTTTGCTCGAACCCCAAGCCAGCACCACAGGAGCTCCCCGCTCCGACCACGTCCTCGCCTTTCGCGCATCCAGCATGGAGCGGGAGCCCAGGCGCCGTCGTCCCAATCGCACTGCAGCTGAGCGCCGAGCTCAATATGCTCGCGCGAACGGACGGGCGGTCATGAGGCTCCTGCACGCGTTCACGGAGGTTGAGCAGCACAGGGGCCAAGGCTTGACTCGCCTTGCCAGTGCGCTCCGCCAGGCACTGGTTGCTGATCATGCTGACTCTGCCGATCGAGTCCATCCTGAGCCTCCCCCTGGTCCGGCGCCCGAGGGCGACCTGGCTGGCGCATCGCCTGCAACAGCGGCAGCCGTCCCGCCCCTATCTCTCCCACCAGAGGCCCCGAGGGGGTTGGCTGCTCTGGGGAGGGACAGCGAGGCGGTGCCAACAGGTGGTGCGACGAAGGGCGAAGCCCCAGTTGGTGACTCTCTACCGCAGCAACAAGTTTCAGCGCCTGCCGACATGCAGGCTGGACCGCCTCCTGTCGACTTTCGCGAGAGGGTGAGCGGCGCGGGTTCGCACGATCCTCCACAGCAGAGCCCTGCCGACGTGGCGGCTGACGCCGCGTGGCAGAGGCGGAGAGCAGCATTGGTAGCCGATGGTCTCCTTCTGGCTCAGGGGCGAGGAGCTGTTGCTGCAGCCGCTCCAGTTCGGCCGAGCAGAGGAGCCATCCCGATCTCGTGTGAGGCGGCTGCCGCGTTGAATCGGATGACGGCGCAGCCTGGGCAGCCACATGCAGCGTCGTTTTCGTCTCCTTCAGGCAGCAGCCCCGACAATTGCAAGCAACAGTAGCTGTTCACTTCTGCGTATGTGGTTGGAATTTTCGCTCTGGCATTTTGCTGGGCCACCTCAAGAATGTCTGTCTCTTCAGCATCGTATTCGTGGTCTTGGCAGCGCTGTATTCTGGCTGAGCCTGGCCCAGGCCCACTGGGCAAGCAAGGCGCCCCACTTTGTTTGGCTCGCTTTTCTTGTTTAGTATGCCTCAATCGATGTGTCAAAAGCGGCTGAGCGGGTTTTATCTTGAGGGCAATCTGCTAAGCGGTGTTTCGCAAACTTGGGCGCATTTATACTCTTTGGCATCGAAGGGGCCTTGGCTGCATTCTGGCTGAGCCTGTCCCAGGCCCGCAGGGCAAGCAAGGCGATAGTATTTTCTTTTGTGGGAATGTATTTTCGCTGTTTGCTTGGTGTCAAGAGGCGTTCTGGTGGTCAGTTTGTTTTCGAGTGTCTCATCCCGCCCCTGGGCATCGGCAGCTGGAGGGACATGAGCGTCACACGCAATATGGTGAACGGCTTTTCTGTCCTGGTGCGGGTCTTCCTGATCGTCGCGTCCCTCGTCGTGGTCAGGGGGTGGAGTGCTCCATGTACCTATTGCTTCGCAATCCCTCCGAGGTCCTCTGAGCGGGCGAGGCTTAATCGTATGAACCACTACGTGGGATAGCCTGTTCCTGTTCCTGCTCCCTCCTCCCTCCTCCCTCCTCCCTCCTCCCTTCTCCTCCTCCTCCCCCTTCTTCTCCTCCTCCTCCTCCCTCCTCCTCCTCGACCTTCCGAAGAGGCTTTCTTCCGCCCCCACCTGGAGCGCGTTCCGACGAGGCTCTGTGGAGGCGGACCTGGCCGCGGCCGCGAGGGCCCCTCGGTGCCAGGACGTCTCCCTGGAGAGCCCAGAGGTGCCCGCCAGAGCGCACTCCTGGGCAGCCCGACGGCATCTGCCAGGATGTTTCCCTGGGCCGCCCGAAGGTGCCTTGTCCTGCTTCTTCTCTACGTTGTCAGTCCTTGTTGTGTGGTAGATTGTGCTGCTATCCTTGTCCCATCGCCCCGCTTAGTCCCCGAACCCGAACTCGGCGCGGCTTCCCATGTTCTCGCTGCTCGCCCTCGCCGGGCTTGTGGGGGGGCTCGCCTGTTTCGGGTGCTCGTCGAGGGAGGAAGCCGAGGCGTCGTGCGTTCCCATCGGAGAGACCGAGCCCCCTCCCTAATTTGCTCGGCTTGGTCTTTGCTTGTCCCCATCCAGCATGCCGAATGCGACGACAGCGGCCGTCGTGGAGGGCTTCTTGCCCGCGCCGCTCCCGGCCAGGACAGCGTCAAGGAGCTTCGCATCATGCTCGCGCGGGCCAAGGATCGACAAACAAAACAAACGGCACCACCCCACTCTGCGGCCCTCCACGTTGCGCTACGGCCCATAGAGGGGGCCGCAGCGCCTGCCACGCAAAACCCCGCGCCAAATTCCTGGTGCAGTCAACCCGTATAGTAAGGATGGGCAACATTCCCAAGGGTACCCTTGCATCCTTTCCCCTTCGGCCCATCCTTAGCGACTCTCGCTGGCCAACCTCGTTCGAGATACGTTAACTTGGCCCTCCGAGGCCCTTGCATCCTTACCGCGCATCCTTATGATACGGGTTGACTGTATACGCTAAGCCCCATGGGGCCGTAAGCCCAGACCCCCAACGTCATGTTTTTTTCACAACGTCGACCCCCGAGGTCTCGACCCATTCCCTGGGGCCGGTTCTTCACCCCGAGTCGTTTTTTGACGGTCCCGAGGCCCGGCAAGGGCCCCCGAATGCCGAGAATGGCGAACAAATTCCCGTCATGTTTTTTCATTCCTCGACGGGTTCTGGGGGTGGGGTGATGCCGCTCGTTCTCTGGCCCAAAGGAGGCCGACGTCGACGCGGAGGAGATCAGGGCAGGCGCGCATGCGCGCGGGAAGGGCGTGGCGGGGCTCGCTTCGCTTCCTCCGATTCGATTCGACTCGATTTCCCTGGTTTCCGATTCCGATTCGCTTCGACTCTGGATTCCGCTTTGAGCTCCGATCTTTTGTTGGGGGCCTATATTGGCCTGCCGATCTCCGCCGATCCGACGTTTCCCGAGTCGGCTGCCGATCTCCGCCGACCCGATTCGTTTCGATCGCCGATCCGACCTGTGGGGGTGGGAGCGGCAGCGCGCCCGGGGCCTGCCCCCCCCCGTCACGGTGGGGGCGGCCCGGGGCCACCGGGGCCGCCGCCGCGGCCCCCGAGGCCAGCGGGGCCGTGGCGGCTGTCGAGGCCCCAGGCCCCCCCTCCTCCTCCTCCTCCTCCTTCTCCTCCTCCTCCTCCTCCTCCTCCTCCGCCTCCTCCTCCTCCTCCTCGCTGCTCTTCCTCCCTCCTCCCTCCTCCCTCCTCCCTCCTCACTCCTACCTCCTCCCTCCTCCTCCTACCCTCCTCCATCCTCCATCCTCCCTCCTTCCTCCTCTCCTCCCTCCCATCCTCCTCCTCCCTCCTCCCTCCTCCCTCCTCCCTCCTCCCCTCCTCCCTCCTCTCCTCCTCTCTCCGCCTCCTCCCTCCTCTCCCTGCTCCCTCCTCCCTCCTCCCTCCTCCTCCTCCTCCTCCTCCTCCCCCTTCCTCTCCTCCTCCTCTCCTCCTCTCCTCCTCCTCCTCCCCCTCCTCACTCCTCCTCCTCCTCCTCCTCCTCCTCTCCTCCTCCTCCTCCTCCTCCTCCTCCTCCTCCTTCCGCGCGCCGTGCAAGAATTACGACGGGAAGGTTCTTCGCTATCTTCGGCCTCGGGTTGTTCGTTCTCTTCGGCCTCGGGGGCCCTCTCGGGGCCCTCTCGGGGCGAAGAACCGGTCCCTGGGGAAGGGGTCCAGATCTCTGGGGGTGGACGTTGTGAAGAAATCATGGCGTCGGGGGTCTGGGGCTGTCGGGGCCGTCGATGGATGATCCGACGAGGCTTTCGGGGCTGCCGGGGATTTCTTCACGCTAGGGGATCTCCTGCGGGCGCCCCCGCTGTTACTGCCTTGTTCGGCTCGAAGGCGGTCGAGGGCACAGATGCCGTTCACCTCGTGGCCACGGCGGGGTTCACCGCAAAGCTCAGTTCAGAGTGCATGCACACACACACACACACATTCGACCGCACACGCGCACACGCACACGCACACGCACACGCGCACGCGCACGCACACGCACGCACACGCACCCGCACACGCACACGCACATGCACACGCACACGCAC